AGTCGTCCCGCGTCAAGACGTAGCCCACGACCAGCCCAAAGGCCACCAGCAGCACCCCCAGGGTATTGGCCAGGACACCCTCAGGCACAAAGTGGCTGTACGAGTCCCTGTGGGAGTGGAGAGGGATGATCAAGCCTCCAGGTTCTGGTGGCCTGTCCATTCCGTGGCTAGGACCTTCTCATCCTCTGAGCACATACCCTGGGAAAGGTCCCTTTTCCCCAAAAAACAGAGCAAGAGGGGAGTGCCCAGGTCCTGCTTGCTTTTGTGGTGACAGCAGAGAAAACATGGCAGAGTCCTTCATTGGGGCTGGAGGCAGCTCAGCAGCTCCCCTGCCAGATCTGCTACCCCAGCACAGGGAGGTGGCTCCTGGGGTGCCCAATTGCCATGTCCCCACGGTGCTGGTGCTGGGGGGGCTCGGTGTGCAGCTGGGGCCACCTGGGCCATCACCATGTCCTCCAGCTGTGAGGACAGAGGTCCTGGGGACAGAAGTGTCCCAGGGAGTTCTGAAAACACCTGGCTGTGGAGGGGTCTTGACCCCAGAGCAAACTGTCACAGGACCTGGCTCTTGTTAAACATCATCTAGGAAGTGACTCAGCAGCAGCAGAACTAAAGTCCTCAGAGGGACATTTAATGGCCTTGGGGGACACACACACACATTTAATAGCCATGAAACCACAGGCTGAGCAGGGAGCAGGGACTGGATCAGCTCTTTGCTGGGAGGTCAAGGAGGGGGGTCTCACCTGATGTTGAAGAGGAGCATCTCGGTGATGCCCAGCAGGCAAACGGCGATGGACAAGGTGAAGAGGGCAATGCCAAAGAAGACGTGGTGGGGCTTGTACCGGCTGCGCAGCCAGAAGGAGGCACCAGGGAGCAGGAAGAAACCGCAGCCCAGGAGCCACTGCGGGGACACGGGGGGGCTAATGGGGTGCTGTGGGGTCCCCTTCCCCACCCCACCTTGTCTCTCCATCCCCAGCCCTCTATCCCTGTCTCTGCATCCGTGTCCCTCCATCCCTGTCTCTCCATCCCCAGCCCTCTATCCCTGTCCCTCCATCCCTGTCCCTCCATCCCTGTCCCTCCATCCTTGTCTCTCCATCCCTGTCCCTCCATCCCTGTCCCTCCATCCTTGTCTCTCCATCCCTGTCCCTCCATCCCTGTCCCTCCATCCTTGTCTCTCCATCCCCTGCCCTCCATCCCTGTCCCTCTATCCCTGTCCCTCCATCCCTGTCCCTCCATCCCCGCCCTCTCTCCCTGTCCCTGCATCCCAGGGGTCCCCAGCCCTCACCTGCAGGAGGTAGAGCACGAAGGCAGCCATCCCACACCAGCTGTGCAGGCTGTACATGTCGGGGATGCCCTTGGTCCGGTGGGACTCGAAGACGGCGACGATGCCTGGAGAGAGGAAGGAGCAGGTGA